GGTTGAGAAATATATGTACAAAATGATGACTTTCCAACATTTCCTACCTCCATAAAGATTTCCTCCACTGTGACATCACAGGTGAATGTCCAAGTATTTAGCAGAAATGCAAGTTTTCCAACTATCTTACGTTGATAGGGTTTCTCTCCATGGCGAGATCTCACATATTTCTCCACTGTGACATCACAGGTGAATGTCCAAGTATTTAGCAGAATTGCAAGTTTTCCAACTATCTTACGTTGATAGGGTTTCTCTCCATGGCGAGATCTCACATATTTTTTTAAGACCCATGGAAATAGTGAAGGGTTTCCATGCTTCCTACATTGTATGGCTCCAGGGTGAGTTCTTCCGTACTGGATTGTGATGAGATTCCAATGTATCTCCAACATTTCTTAAATCCATGGGGCATCTTCAGAGTGTTACTTGTTTCATGTCTTCGAAACAAAAGGGAATAACTGAGGGTTTTTCTACAATCCTTACACTATGGTTTCTCATCAGTGTGAATTTCAATATTGTTAATTAAGGCATAAGGACTTCCTAAAGGGCTTTCAACATTCTTTACTTTCAACGGGTCATTGTGAAATTCTAAATGTTGTTATTGAATGAAACCTACTGTAAGCTTTCCCACATTCTTATATTTAAAGGGTTTTCTCCAGTGTGAATTCTTACATGGGTAGGTAGGTTTGAGGAAGTGCAGAAGGCTTTCCTTCATTCCTTACATCTATAGGGTTTTTCTCCAATGTAAATTCTTACATGTATACATAGATTTGAGGAAACACAAAAGGTTTTCTCACGTTCCTTTCATATATAAGGCTTCTCTCCAGTGTGAGTTCATGTATGTTACTAAGGGCAGAGCAAAAAGTGAATCCTTTCCCTCATTCCTTACATTCATAAGGCTTCTTTCCAGCATGTACTCGTTGATGATTATTAAGTCCTGAGCGACCAGAAAAGGCTTTCCCACAGTCCTTACATATGTAGGGCTTCTCTCCAGTATGAGTTTGTACATGTTTATTAAGGTCAGAGCTCACAATGAAGGCTTTCCCACAGTCCTGACATTTATATGGTTTCTCTCCAGTGTGAATTCTGGCATGTATACGTAGATTTGAGGAAGCATAAAACGCTTTCCCACATTCCTTACATACATAGGGCTTCTCTCCGGTGTGAGTTCGCATATGTTTAGTAAGGGCAGAGCAAAAAGTAAAGGCTTTCCCACATTCCTTACATGCATAGGGCTTCTCTCCAGTATGAATTCGTACATGTTTAGTAAGATCAGAGCGCACAATGAAGGCTTTCCCACAGTCCTTACATTTATAGGGCTTCTCTCCAGTGTGAGTTCGCACATGTATAGTAAGGTTAGAACGCCAAGTGAAGGTTTTCCCACAGTACTTACACTTATAGGGTTTTACCCCAGTGTGAATTTGACTGTGATGATTAAGGGAGGAGGAATTACTAAAAGATTTCTCACATACCTCACATTCAAAGGTCTTCTCCCCAGTGTGACTATTTAAATGTTCAGTTAGTTGGTAAAGCCAAGTGAATGTTTTTCCACATTCCTTACAGTCATAAGGCTTCTGTCCAGTATGAATTCGCACATGTTTAGTAAGATCAGAGCGCCCAAAGAAAGTTTTCCCACAATCCTTACATTTATAGGGCTTCTCTCCAGTGTGAGTTTGTACATGTCTAGTAAAGATACAGCGCCAAATGAAGGTTCTTCCACAGTCCTTACATTTATAGGGTTTTATTCCAGTATGAATTTGACTGTGATGGTTAAGGGATGAGGAATTACTAAAGGATTTTCTGCATACTTTACATCCAAAAGGCTTCTCCCCCATGTGAGTATTTAAATGTTCAGTTAGTTGTTTAAACCTAGTGAAGGCTTTCCCACATTCCTTACATTTATAGAGCTTCTCTCCAGTATGTGTTCGTTCATGATTAGTGAGCTGTGAGCGCTCAGTGAAGGCTTTTCCACATTCCTTACATTTGTAGGGTTTCTCCCCAGTGTGAATTCGCATGTGGCGATTAAGACGGGAAGGATATCTAAAGACTTTTCCACATTCCTTACATTCGCAAGGTTTTTTTACAGTGTGCTTTTGAACAGGTGCAGGACGGCTTGTGGACTGAGTAACAGCTCTCCCACACTGTTTCCATTCATTAAGTTTTTCTCCATTATGAGTTGTCTTGTGTGCCTGAAGGTGTGACTGATTAAGGAACACTTTTCCACAGTCACTGGATTCTAAAAGTTTGTCTTTCATGCACATTCTCTGGGAAGCACCATTTGGAATGAGGATAAAGGGTTTTCCACACTGATTCAACCCAGAAAGTTTCTCACCAGCAGAGATTTTCTTGTGCAGAGTAGAAAAGTTTTTTCCATAGTTATAGTCAGAAGTGTTCCTTGGATTCTGAGTTCTCATGTGTGGCTTAAGGTGTGAGTGTTGACTAGAGATGTCTCCACATTGCTTACCATCACTGGGTTGCACCCTACTGTATCTTCCTGCCTGATGAGGAAGAAACAAATGATGATCAAAATACTTTTCAGACTTATTGATAGATTCCACCCATATGAAGACAGGAACATTAAGATTACGATGCATATAGTTCCCTCTCTGCAAATGATGATCAAAATACTTTTCAGACTTATTAATAGATTCCACCCATATGAAGACAGGAACATTAAGATTACGATGCATATAGTTCCCTCTCTGTGGATTTTGTTCAAGTTGAATGAAGAAAGTCTCCTATAAGAATCCTGTGCCATGTAGGGCCAGCCCATGGCTCACTCGGGAGAGTGCGGTGCTGATAACACCAAGGCCACGGGTTT